AAAAAAAAAAAAAAAAAATAGGAGTTGGAGGACATCACTAATAAGCAGGGAGAATGGCATAGGCGTTGATCTCCATGCAGGGATTCAGAAAGCACAGACAGGATTCTGGAAGGGCGCGTGGGCTTCCATCAGCAACTGCCCACAGCACCCACCTGCAGCCCCCTGACTGCCTACAGGAAGTGGAAAAACAGCCAAGATCATTACTGCCTCCATCCCCATCTACAGTCCGCACCCCCCAGGTCACAGGCCACTCAATGGCCAGGGACATGGGGACATAGCAAAGAGCTCACATCGTAGAGAATGAGACCCATCTTGCCAGAGAGAAAATTTGTCTTTTTCAAAGCCAACGGGGAAAATAAATAAATATTTGATAGCTGTCTCTACTAAGTTATAGTCTATTTCTACATTTCCCCCAAGGCCTTTCTAACTTCCCTTAAGTATTCATTACTTTGCACTTTAGGTTTACAAAGTTTAGCTTATATATTTCTCTTTCAAAACTTTCCTGTTACCTAAGAGGAAGTGTGTTTAAGTTGAAACAGAATGCAAAATTAAGTGGAGGTTCTAGATCAATTACAGTCATCCCTCAGTATGCACAGGGGATTGGTCCCAGGACTGCTGCAGATAGCAAAATCCATGCATATTCGAGGCCCTGCAGAAATTAATCAGCCCTCCTTATACACAGGTTTTGCATCCCGCAAATACTGTATTTTTGATCTGCATGTTGTTGAAAAAATCTGTATTATTAGTGGATCCACACAGTGTAAACCCATGTGGTTCAAGGGACAAATGTTAAGTCCTTCCCCAAGCATTTTACATAATAGGCCGGCATCAGCCATGTATCTACAGTGTTTGGGTTAGATTCTGTTTTGTTTGAAATTCCTATCTTAGCATCCTTAGTTAATTCCTTCTTGAATTCCTCCAGGAGGCAAATGAAGTCTTGCCCAGGAAAGAGTCCAGCTAAACAGGCAGCCATAAATGAGGAACATGATATAAATTAGAAAGGAGCTGGCTGCCCTGAATCAGTGGCTCCAGAAACTCGATGAAATATTACTGCCTGAAATAAGACCCTTTTTCCTTCAGATCCTGAACATTTCCTCTTTGCTGAAATCCACCTTTTCATACTTCTGTTCATGGAAGGGAAGTAGCTTTTAGAGACTCTCCAGGCTCTTTGAATAGTCATATGAGTCTTCCATCTTCGTGTTTTTCATTGTTGGTAGCAGAGTTCAAAAAGGTAATTGTCAATTTCCATGAAAAAAAAAAAAAAAAAAGAATGTGTTGGCAGGAATTTCATGGAGGTAAAACTCAAGAACTGAAGATGCTTCACACACTGTGGTCAGTGGTGGGGACTAGGAGAGGGACACTGGGGGGGGGGGGGGGGGGGGGGGATAATGAGGAGAGAAATACCAGATACAGGTGTTGGGTGAATGAAGACAGCAAACCACCTTGCCATGTATGTATCTATGCAACAATCCTACATGATCTACACATGTACACCACAACCTAAAGTACAATTTTTAAAAAATAGTAATTCCAAAAAATAATATGTTTCATGTGAAGAGAGTCAAGAAGGATGGGCTGGACAAATGAATGGTGATGTTTTTAGTTGACCGGTGATTTAAAAATATCAAGACAGAGCTGTTCTTAATAATTTCCAAATTATGCAGTTGTGAAATAAAGGAGGCTCTTTGTGCCCAGTGTCATAAGTGCTGCTGATAGCAAAGCTCAAAATTCTAAAAAGCTTTCCTTTTGAAAAGCTCCTTTGTGAGAAAATCAAATTCATTCATCTTCATGAATTGTTTTCAATCAGTGGGGAAATCCATTTCTATTTTGTTCTTCACTGACAATTTGCATATCATTGAAAAAAAAGTCTGATCCATATCTTTTAATTATCCGTGTTTCAAATCTATTTATTAAACACCTTCTAGGCTTAGCAAAGGAAGAGTTGCAGAGGAAAACATAAGGCGTAGGAAGGGGGTACTCGGGGTAAAGAGGAAATATGAAACTATAAAGGGCAGCTTCATTTAGTTCTGAATTACATACTACAGATTTTAAAGCATGGATTAAGGGAAAGAAACTTGTAGACCAAATCTTGAGAGGAACTTATGGAGTTTTGGTAATTAGGAGGTAAGAGATAAGGATATTCTGGATAAAAGGGAAAGCATGAGGGGAGAGATGGAAATTGGACTGAGAGTGGCATGTCCATGGAGCAGAATTCGGCTCCATCTATCATGCTCATTTTCTTGTCGAACCCAGGCACAGAGGCCAGGCTGTCATTTCATTAGCTGTCCTACTTTATGTTACCTAAAGAGACACATTCTCATTCAAATCAGAATATTCTGCTGGCTGGGTGTATTGTTTAATATAAAACCATGCTCGGTTCATGATGGATTTGGAACCAAAGCATATTTGTATCATCTGAACCTTTGACTTTTGTGAAGCCTGGCCTTCTGGGTCATTTTCTCCTAAAGGAACACAAACAGGTGTAGAAGAATGTGATCACTTGCAGGTTAAAGAATGCCGCACCCTTTTAAAGCCAGTCTTTACGTTTAGATAACCACAAACAGAAGTTAGATGTTCAGTGTTGTTGCAGAGGATGGTTTCCAAAGGAAGAGCCGATGTGCCACAGGAAGAGACTGGATGTCGGGGTACAAGAGAAGCAGGACATGAGAAGTTCTTGGCTTTTTAGAACTTGATACTTACAAAGAAATGAAGTGACTGAAAGAATAGGTTGCTTATATTTGACTATGGTTGGGGAATTGTCGGGATGGCTGGTTTTGAAAGAAAGAAGATAGGTTTGGGGGAGGACATAGAATTAAAAGATTATGGAAATCATCATGTCTTCCATGCTGCCTTAATAATCTGCACGAGAAGAACACGTATTGGTTGGAACACAGACTGAATCTCTTTCAGAGAGACCCAAACCTATAGGAGCTGAGACTACACGGGGCTCCCTTTCCGTCTCATGGATCTGTACGTGCTCAGGCAGGTGGCCCAAGGCCAGCAGGTGACCCTGATGCCTGTCACATTGCTCTACCTTGCAAAAGAAAAGTCATTGCTGCCTGTGTAAGTAAAGCGCCCTGGCTCTGCCCACTTCTCATTCCAGCCCATAGGGTGAGAGTAGAGACGGGAGGGCAAGTGGCCCAGAAGCTGCTAGTCTCAGGCCCACACCCTGGGGTGAGAACTCAGTCCCATCGCCAGAGCCCCCTGCCAGGGAGGATGGGACAGGGCACAGCATAACCCCTGAAAAAGGTTTGTGGCTTGAGAAGAAAGGCAATACCATTCCAGCAGTCATTTTCTTCTCCATTGTCTTTAATGGCAATTGAAATCACAACCTAATGAGACATATTACCCCATTTTGGGGTGGCTGTGATCATCCAAAGCTTCTTACTTGTATTAAGCAAAAATCTCTTTATTTGCCACTTCTGTTCTCCAAAAAGCTGTACTGAAAAAGTCTAATGTCTCTTCTCTACAGTAGCCTTCCTGGATTTGAAGCTAGCCATCTTTATCTACACGGTCATTACTTCTCTAGGTCTAAAATGTGCAGGGGAGGAAAATAAATATCTTCCCTCACCCATCACTAGGTTCATGACAGAAGCCTCTACAATGAAAAGCAAATTATAATAACAAGAGAAAAGCATCAAATTTATCTAATATAAAGTTC